GTTCACTTAAATCTTTGTTTTTGTAAAAATGTGTTAAACATCTTCTACAAATGAATTTCTTATGTCTATTATTTTTTGTTAATTGAGTAGAAACAAATTTACTTAAATCTGTTATCAAAACATAATGTGAATTATTATCATTTTTTATATACAATAGATCAATATCTAATCTCGCATTGTAATTTTCAGATATTTGTAATGGAACAATCTTTTTATCTTCATCAAATCTGTATACATTAATTGACATGGATAGATAATTATATTTAGAATCAAATGATCTTTTTTCAAATGATTTTATATCTTTTAAACTCATTGGATAATCAAATTCTTTAAAAATTTCATCATTCATGTAATTTTTATATTGTTTTACTCTATGTGGATGATCAAACTTTTTATCTTCATATTTATCAATAGCACATCTAATTGCATAAATAAAACAATATTCATCTTTATTTTTGAAATTCATACAACACTTTTTATTTTTTATTTCAATTGGTAATTCAACATATGAACCACCATTTAATGAATTATGTTTACTTAGTTTTAAATTTAAATCTAAACCTCTTTTTAATGACCAACCAGATCCTTTTGATGGTTGATTTAAATTTTCTCTTAATATTAATTTTTTAAATTGATCATCAATAAATTCATCAGTGTTTAATATATCTGAACTTCTTAAAGGATAATACATTTGGGTTTTTTGACTATCACCATTTACTAATTGTCTTTCATATTCACAAGATAATGATAACTGACCTCTTTTATTTTTAAATTCTTGTTTTTCAATCAATTTTTTAATTTCATTTCTTTGTGATTCTAAATATTCAGATATATCTAAATCATCATTTGAATTTGTTAAATAATACTCTTGAAAATAACCTTTTAATGATGGCACTTCCTGAATATTTATTACATTTTCCTTTGGAATTGGTTTATTTTTTAAATGATCAGTTAATAATCTAATCAATTCTTTTCTAGTTTTATCTTTTATTTTAATACCATTTTTAATTGATAGATTTTGAATAAATTGTAATGATCTATATTTTAGATTATTAGGATTTTGTTTGATATTATTTAATTTTTTAATTAGTTCATCTCTATTTAAATTGTCAACATTTCTAACAGATAATTTGTTAGCAATTTCTTTTAATTTTTCACTGTTAAATAGTGAATAATTTGTTGGATCATATGACTTCTTTAATTCTTTTAATTGATCTAAATTATCGTTTTGATAATCAACTATTTTATTTTGTTTACACCAAAGTTTTAAGTTATTAACTTCAGTTTCATATTTAGTTTTATTTTCAAAATGTTTCTTTGAATTATAATGTCTATTATAATTTTTAGATAATATATTCTTATTACAATAAGGGCATAATATATTTTTATTTGTACGCTCCATTTATTAGGGGAAAAATTTGCACGATTTATTAAGAATAATTTTATTTGAAAATAATTGTTGTTGTAAAATATGAATATTAAGATAAATATTTATGTGTTAATTGAAAAATTATAAAGTATTTTAAATAAAACTTAAACTTTTTTAAAACCAGTAATTTTTTAAATAATACTTTCAAAAATTAATATTATTTTTATGAATTTTCTAATTTATTTATGTTTTTATTATGAATTTTAGTTTGTAAATGTTTTTGAAGATTAAGCCATTTTAAATCTCTACCACATTCACAATGGGTTGTGACTCTCATCATTTTTCTAACACATTCAATACAAATTGCAAATTTTTTATCTTTACTATAATAATGTTTATGAAAATTTTCCATATCTTTTGTTTCCTTACAATTCAAACATACTTTTTCACTTTTTTCTTCTACTGTAATATTATCATATAACTTTTTTCTATAAATTAAATCACATTCTTTACAATATGAAAGTAATCCATCTTTATATTTTTTATTTTTATAAAAATTATTAATATTTTTTAATTGTTTACGCTTTGAACATTCCTTCTCCATTTATATAGTATAAAATTTTACAAATTAGTTTTCTTCAATTCGTAATCATAAAAACTACCAAGTATATCTTCATTATTCAAGGCTTTAATACTATATGTAACAGGATTTGTATTATTAATTCTGGAAACAACGAATATTTCTCTTGACCAATTGTGTTTATATTTATTTGAAAAAGATGATTTTTGTTTCCTATTCTAACTCGATCATTTATTTTAAATTTAGATTTTGTAATTATTTTTGGTGGGATATATTTAAAAACTGTATCTAATAAATCATTTTCATTTTCTTTATTTACATCAATTGGTTTCATTTTAATTGTTGAATGATATGAATTATTATATTCTTTAACTATTTTTTGAAGAATATCAATCCATCTAAAATTTTTATTAATTTCAAATAGAACTTTCATTTTTTAATTTTGAGTCCTGTTATATCTTTCAATAATACTTGATTTTTCTTCATTTTCTGTATGATACAATTTAATATTATACTTTTTTTAAACTCCATTAAATTCTTTATTTATAAATTCTCGTCCTTTATCTGTATGTAATAAGTTTGGTGATTTATGACCAATTTTTATTGCATCTTTTATAATTTGTTCAAATGCTATAGATACACATTTTGCATCTTTTTTCTTTAAAGGTTTTGACCAAACATATTTAAAAAATGTATCAATAACATTCAACATATATTTATAACCATCATTTTCTTTTTCATAATTTTTCATAATGATTAAATCAGCTGCCCCATAAATCATCAATACCTAATGTAACTATCTTTCTTTTTGGAATTTTTTTTCTTATTAGAGCATGAATTTCTTTAGCTTCAATTATTTGATCTTTTTTATTTAATTCCTTTTTTATTATTGGTTTAATTTCCTTTTTAATTATTTTACTTTTATTTGTTTTACATATTGAACACTTCGTAGCAATTCTAAACAAACCATTCTTCATTTCAACAATTTCTGGATTAATATTTTTAGTTTTCTTCTTACATTTATGACACTGAATAAGTTCTTCCATTTAGATATAAACATTTTATATATAAATGGATATATGTTATAGATGTTATAATTTTAATAACTTTACAATTATTAAAAATTGTATAGGATGTAATATATGTAAAAGAATTATTTCTGAAAAAAAGATTAATAGACGAATGAATAAGAACAAACCTCTTATAAATATTTTAAGAGAATTTAATCATTTTCAACCATATCGTACACAACAATTAATCAATGAAATCTATACATTATGTATTTTAGACAATAGTTTTTAAATAACACCTAAAAATATAAAATTATTCTTAAAACAAAGAAATTATACAAACTGGATATTTTACTATCAATTCTTAAACAAAATATTCAATATTGATTTTGAATTAAATTTTGAAGATAAAAGAAATATTACAGTAATTTTTAATGCATATTTCAGTTTTACAAAAAGAAATATATCATTTAAGAAACTATTACCAATGATTTTTAAACTTTTAGAATTGAATTTTTATATAAAACCAGAATTTGATGATATTTTTTTAAATTCTTAAAACATCTATCAACTTTAAATGATCCATGCATAATATATCAACATAATGGTTTTTCTGATAACATAAGTGATACATCAGATATTATTAAAAAAAATAGAATTTTAAATATCACACAACAGTTCTAACAAACTGTTGTGTGATATTTAAAATTCTTTTCATATATTTCAATTATTAACTGTTTAAAATTTTTATAATTATTTTTGTAATAAATGGATCTATTAGAAGAGATTAATAATATTGGAGAATGTAAATTCAAAGAATATAAACCAATAAAAAGTTTAGAATATAATACAAAATATAAAATTAAAGATAAATACGGACCAACAATTATTGTTGAATTAGAAAAATGTAAAGTTCATTTACCTCATAGATTTATTAATATATTTGATGAAAAAACAATTAAAGAATTAAATAAAAAAGATTTAAACTTAATTATTACTGAAATTAAAACATTCAAAGATAAAGAAACTGTTTTAGTTAAATTTGTATAAAAACTACTCATTAAATTTTAAAATTTTACTTGTTTTTAAAAACATTTTGTTTTGTAGTCAATTTTATGGAAAATATAGACATATTCATGAAAATTTCGTCAAAATTGTATACTTTTTCTAGAAAAATATAAAACTGTTAGAAATTGACCTAAAAGGGTAAAAAATAGAACATATTGTATAAAAGAATAGGAAAATTCATTTAATTTTTGAGTGGCTCCGTTTGTGGCCCAGAAGTGACATGAATATATCTACTTATATATATATATATATATATATATATAAATATATATATGGCCGTTAGCGCGATAACTCGAGCAAAAATGATCCGATTTTGATGAAATTTGGTACAAACGTGTAAACCTACGTTTATTCGAACGAGTTCGCGATCCAGCATAATCGGACCATGGGAACGGGGGTTTATGGGGGGTTTTATGGGGTAAAAATGGGTTTTTCCTATTTTTGAACCTAAAAACAAAAAATTTTGCGATTTCTTTCCAAACCGTTTTGTAGAGCTTAAAAAAAGAAATAATTTAGTATATTGAAGCGCTGTTGTATGCCTAACGGTCACGGAGAAAATTCAAAAATAGTGTAATTAAAAATTCCCATGTTATTCTTATGGAGAAAATGAAAATTGTTGTAGTTTACTTTTTTATGGGTATATATTGATAAAATTTGGCAAATTTATTTATTTCATCCTATACTATTGACGTATGGTCAAAAAAAACTTTTTACCTTCCCCGTAGCAGCAAACCTAAGCACTCGTTAAATCTAATGTTATTTAAATAGGGAATAATATGTCTTATTTATGGAAATATTTTAGTAAAAATGTAATCAGACGAGTTGAAATTCGCTTAGTCTGCAGGTTTGCTGCGGCGGGGGTATTTTATATTTTTTTAATTTTTTTTAGGACAAGCAGTCATTTTTGTACACAGGTATAACGAAATTTGTTTTGTGGTGTTTACAGTTTTACTCATAATAGATCTTTTTTCAGGAGCTTATAATAGAAGGATGCCCACTGAAAGGTAAGCGCTCTTTAAATAATTAAAATATTGATCACACTTTGTTATGAATAAGAGCACTAGAAAATTAGTGGCATATACAGGGTGTTCAAAAAAGGTGGGGACATAATTTACGTATTTGATTCCTTGGGTCAAAATAAAGAGAAAATCAAGAATAACATTTTTCCCAAAACCTATTCGTTAACCAGATATCAACCATTTTGTATTTTTTACATAATCAATTTGATTTTTAGATTTTTTTCAACCGATCATTAAGAAACTTGGTATTTTATTTATTTTATTTTATTTATTACATGCACGGCAAACACCATTTTCAAGAGTGTTGAGTTGACATTGATAAGAACAGGTAACTTAATGTGATGTAAAATAGATATAGAGGTGAGCAATAATTAGTATTAAGGTGAAATACGATATACAACACTGTTTTGTTAATTAAATATACAGAGATTTTACATTTAACAGCTACACAGGCATGTTGCATTAAAACAATATAAATAGACAATTTAAAACAACAAAAGCAAATGTAAATAGACTATTAACAACAAAAAATACATAATAAACCATTTACAAGAAGACAATATAGACCGTTTACAACAAAAACAAAATAAATAGACCATTTAACAGCATAATAGAATGAAAAACAGATGAATGACACTATTAACAAGACTGATACTACATGTAGTTTCTTCTGAGTACGGCACTCGTTTCTGACTTGAAGGAGGAGGGACACAGCGGTCAAAGAAGAGTTAGTTGTTGACGTCACCGCAGATGCTATTCCCTGTGCGCATCAGGCGAGGTACTGGCTGTGCTGAATGTGGGGGAGTAGGGATATTGTTGATGTCTGGAATGACGAGGGATGTGGAAGTCAATCTTACCCAGCAGCTCAGGACAGTCAAATGAACCACTTACTATCTTGTAGAGGAATACTGCGTCCATAAACCCTCTTCGAAGAAGCAACGGCGGGAGGCCAAGAAGCTGACCAATCTCGTTGATTTCAACTTCCGGGTATCGAAGGCCCATCTTGACTTTAATCAATCTAAGAAAACTGGTTTGGACTTTTTATAGTTAATTAATCAATCCCAGTAAGGGGACCACACAGTTGAGTTGTATTCCAGAATTTAGTGAACGAGAGTCATGTAGAGAGTTTTAATGGTGGTTAGAGAAAAGGGTCCTCTTGTTGCTCTGAAGATTTAACCGAACACGGAATAGGCCTTGGAGCATATGCAAGATATGTGAGCGCCAGGGTGAAGGTTGGGTGAGAAGAGTACCCCCAAGACGCGGACCTATTTGGCAGACTGCAGAACTTGAAGACCAATATGGTAATTGGAACTGCATTATTACACACTTTTTCTCATTCAGGTCCATAGAGTTGATTTGGCACCAATGAATAACATTGTTAAGGTTTCTCTGAAGGCGAGCATTGTCATCCTTTGAGGAAATCTCACAGAAGAGTTTCAGGTCAGCTGCAAAGAGTCATTTATGAAGATGTTAAATAAAAAAGGGCCAAGCAGAGACCCTTGAGGGACGCCCGAAGTGACACTAATCGGATATAATGAGGCCAACGAGTGCCTTACCATCAAGGAGCGATTGGTCAGATATAATTTGATGAAATTGAGAAGTGCACCGGTCACACCGTAGGCCTCCAACTTGCCAAGCAGATGTTTATGACTTACTCTGTCATAAGCCTTCGAGTAATCAAGATAAATGCAGTCAACATGTAGTCCTTACCCAAATGCCAAAACCATGTGGTCTTTAAAGAGAATTAGATTGATCGAAGTGGATCTCATAGTGGAAGTCGACAGCAATGGTAACTTTTCTTAGTCAGTTTGAAAGGATTGCAGACTATTGCGTAGTATGACTGGAATCCTAAGCGAAATCTTTGACAAAAAGTTAACGCCTCCGGTGGGATTCAGAATTCTCGATTCCCCACCCCTCCTCCGGTGACCACTACCCTCAGGCCATAAATCAGGGGATTAACCCAAACAAAGATCTGGGCCATTGTCCGTCTCCCGACTGGAATCAGCCGACTTCGCATTGATAGTGTAGGTGCCCAAGTGAGCTTAATGAGTATAAAACCACTCTAATGGATACAACAGAGTGTTCTACGTTCCTTGGTAAAAGTCGAATCGAAACTGATATAAACCGCTTCCTGTCAGTAAAAGATTTGACACAACACAACCATTCGTTGAAGACTGTAGTAAAGAGGTGATTTTTGAAGGTGGAATTCTTAATATACAAGAGTTGTCAAAATTAAGGCTATGTAGTAAATCTGTATAAATAAAGTTACATTTTTGTTTGTACATTGCGTAGAAACGTGCAGTATTTAGTTATTTTTACGTTTCATAGCCTAAGAAAGCCGAAATGAGTTTTATCTCAATTTCTGTCTGTATGTTTGTCTGTCGCTCTGTCATTCTGTATTTACCGCCAAAATGTTAAAACTAGAGTACAGATCAAGATTCCAATATTTTTTTCAGTATTCACTGGATTAACGTGAGTGTCCTTGGCTTTTAAAATATGGCCTCGCTACTTTGGAAATAAAATAAGGAACCCTCAATCACCCAATTTTGTGTGACTTTTGTCAAGTTTTCTCCTTTTCGTTCAAGATTCAAAATGGCGGATTCAAGAAATCTTTGAACATCTGCCATTTTGACAGGATCAACCTTAAGTAATAAAGTGCGGTTTGCGGCATTGTATTCTACTAAAAAAGACCTTTAATTTGATGTGCATATTGACCTATGCTTCCATTTAAGATTTTCTTCCGACTCCTTGTGGGACGTCCCCCTGAAGAGTTATTGGATCACTGAATATGTGTTAAAATAGTTTTATGCCCTGTAACTTTGTACCAAGTATTGAAGCTCAATCTGCATTATATTTTAAAATATTGAGCCGTACCCAGACTTTTCAATCGCCCTTTATAGATACTCGTATATCAATCATTTGTTTGGCGAATACGACATCTATGAAATATCGAACAGCTGTTTGGATAAAGTATTTCTTTCTAGCTGTCACTGATATGTTTACATTAATTGTTGTTTACAAATACCGCAACCATTCCCGATCACGTATTGTAAGCAAATCAAAACCAAGTGAGATTAAAAACGTCTTGCCTTACATAACGGATTTAATTAATCGCAAGTGTAACATTTATTCTTGAGTTTTAATAACCGGTAAAAAGACCGTGAATCAGTGTTGTATACGAATGGGAAACTTGCATTTTTTTAATCTTCGTCGCCAATAGCTTACAAACAAGGTTTCCACTCATTGACGGCGTTCAAGGACAGTTGGGTAAAGTGTAAAGTAAAAAAATCACAACTGCAGTGGGTGATCGCGGATGTCGCTGCGATCATGGAAGATCTTTCCGATTTCGCTGTGATCGTAACAGAGGTTTAACACAGATGTAGCTAAACTCGCTGCCCTCGGAGCCCTTTTGACGGACCTGCACCAACCTTCACAAAAACCATCCAATAATGCTCAATAATGCCTGAAAATTTCATTACAATCTGGCAAGCGGTTTCAGAGTCCATAAAGGACAAACACACAAATAAACATACATACATACATTGAATTTTTATAGATAGGTAACGTTATCCTTGGAATTATTATACAGGGTGGTAAAAAAGTCCCAGGACAGTTAAATATTTTATTAAATAATGCAGATAGAGCTACAATACTTGGTACAAAGTTACAGGACATAAAACTCTATTTTAACACATATTCAGTGATCCAATAACTTCAGGGGGACGGCCCACAAGGAGTCAGAAGAAAATCTTAAATGGAAGCATAGGTCAATATGCACATCAAATTAAAGGTATGTTTTAGTAGAATACAATGCCGCAAACCGCACTTCAAAAGGTTGATCCTGCGTAAAATGACAGTTGTTTAAAGATTCATTTAATTTACATTGCTATTATACGCTTACTCCTCGGGGCTCAGCCCTAGGAATCGGAAGAAAATTGTTAACGTAAGCATAGGTCGATATGCACATCAAATTAAAGGTCTTTACTAGTAGATTACGATGCCGTAAATTCAAGCTCAAAAGAATGCCTGAGTAAAAAATGGCAGTCGTTAAAAGCTTCAAAATGGCGGATTCAAGAAATCTTTGAACATCTGCCATTTTGACAGGATCAACCTTTTGAAGTGCGGTTTGCGGCATTGTAATCTACTAAAAAATAAATTTAATTTGATTTGCATATTGACCTATGCTTCCATTTAAGATTTTCTTTCGACTCCTTGTGGGCCGTCCCCCTGAAGAGCTATTGGATCACTGAATATGTGTTAAAATAGATGTGTATGCCCTGTAGCTTTGTACAAAGTAATGTTGCTCTATCTGCATTATTTTTTAAAATATTTTAATGTCCTGGGACTTTTTTACCACCCTGTATAGTAGTGCATTGCAGAATTAACTGGCAAAAACGTATTCTAAATGTTAACATTGCGTACTGGCTTGATGATAGATCACGATCAGCTGTATTGAAGTAAACAAAAATCAGCAGTATATGGCTTCTAATGCTATTCTTGTGGAGAAAATTTTACGTTTTATCTCGTTTTCTGGTAACTTTATGGGAATTCTGCTATTTTTCCCGAGTCCCTGGAGTAAGGAAATTTAATTTCAGACCTCTCCCACTTTTCTGCAACTTACCAGACGTCCACAATTTTCTAGTAAAAATTTTGTCTTACAGAATTATACAGGGTGTCCATAAAAAACGTTTCAGGACTTTAAGAAATGAATCCTCATACTAAAAGGAAGAAAAAAGTAAATGTGAAGGTATGTCCGAAATAGTTATTTGTGTAAACTAGTGGGGAAAGTGGCACTTTGCTGCACACGAGAGCAATGTTTACGCACGAGCCGCAGGCGAGTGTGGAATGATCTCGAGTGCAGCAGGCCTTTTGCACTCGTGTTACACATTATATTTTTCCTACAGTCACTATAAAGCATATAAATAATTAGTCTTTTAAACACTATATAACACGTTTTTTAGGTTCAGCTGGAAACACAAATAGGTACCCTAGAGAAAGTAGTACCCGGTCCGTATCACTCCGCTATTTTTCCTCGGCAAGAAATGTGCTCCACGTTTTGAGAATATAGTTCCGTATGTTTTTGTAATTTGAAGTGGTTTCCGCGCCTAAAAAATGCTTTAAAGGTATTTTTTGTTTATTAAGATGGTAGGAATGTTTTAAAAACGTTTGAAAGAAAAGTCTAGAAAGTGCAGAAATACCGAAACTATATAAACACGAAATGACAGGTTATATCGTAGTTATAATAGTCAATCAGCTGCTCATAGTATTTTTATCCTTATGTGTTGCCAACCTATTTCCAAGCGTACACGGATTACGTGCATAATAGAACCACGCTGTTTTGTGTTGTTTCGTTGGAATCCTGATGTGCGGCAAAGTATAAACCGTACGACAAAGTATAAACCGTACGGCAAAGTATAAATATGCAGCAATTAGCAGCATTCTGTACTATAAACAGTACAAGGAAGCACACTTTGTCGGGTGACTGTAGGAAAATGCATATTCACCCAGTTATCCGCCATTTTGTTTTTTATACAAAAATATTTTTATCTGTGAAGTTTTTCATTCGATGATTATGAAATTTAGTAACCATGTTAACGTACACAAGACCTATTACAGAAAAAATAATCAAGTTGTTCCGACTGTAAATTTTAATATGGCGGCCGTTTGATTTTTTATAACTTAAATAATTCGAAAACGGCAAATTTTATGAAAACAAAGTCAGGAATACTTTTCTTAGCATTTTCTATTCCCTATCAAACGATACCAAGATAAAAAGATCGGACTAAAGATAACTGAAATATAGGCCTAACGTTTTTTGTGTAAAAATAAGGCAAAGTTTGTTGGGGAACCCTTTGGCCTTGTCTTACAGCTAAAAAACCTTTAATTTCAGTTGTCTTTCGTCCGACCTTTTTGATCTTGGTATCGTTTGATAGGGAATTAAAAATTCTAAAAAGTATTATTGACATTTGTTTCATAAAATTAGCCGTTTTTGAGTTATTTAAGCTATAAAAATTCAAACGGCCGCCATTTTAAAATTTACAATCGGAACAACTTTATTAATTTTTCTATAATAGGTCTTGTGTATGTTGACATGGTAACCGAATTTCTTAATCATCAGATGAAAAAAATATTATTTTTTTCACAGATAAAAATATTTTTGTACAAAAACAAAATGGCGGATAACAGGGTAAATATGCATTTTCGGACATACCTTCACATGAACTTTTTTCTTCCTTTTTGTATGAGGATTCATTCCCAAAGTTCTGAAACGTTTTTTATGGACACCCTGTATATAAGGATGCTTCTTGTTATGTATGTGTGTAATATTTGCATTACGTTAACTCTATTTCCACTTCGAACAAAAAACAGTCTTACAATCTTTGAGACTTAACACCGATTGTTGACTCTTTTTCAGTACCTAACGGTTATCATGCTGTTTCAGCTGCTGATATATACGTAGAAGAAAACAAGTTAGCAGTACAGAAAGATAAACTAGTCGCCAGATACATCAGTGAGCAAAATGGCTATAATATATATTGCTATAAAAGTGAAGGAAAGGAACATATATTGGTCATAAAGCAAAAAACCCGATTTATAATATCTATTAAAGGATTAGATTGTTCGTATTCTAAGGATGTGAATTCCATTTTTCTTTTCGAACATCGAGACGTGAATCTGATGATGGTAGGGGCAACCTTACCGGTGTCCCCTCAAAACGGCAGACGTTTGAAACTGGAACATCCTTGGTGTGTCTACAAAGTCCATTTGGGTGTGCGATCCAACGACATCGTACCGGCATTCTATGACAAACCCGCAGAGAATGTGAAATGGATTGAGGTAAATAAAACTCAATTATTTTAGTTTTTTTGGGAAGAAAAGATACACATAACTTAGTTAAGTTTTGTATTAACTTACAATCCTATTCGTGCTGAAGTGGATATAAACTGTTGGAGGTTGAAATGTGATCTGTTAGACCATAGTAAAAGCATAGATTAAAAGAAGTAGACAGATCTAAAGTGACATCTCCGTTGCGAGGCACGGGTACGGCAGCCAGTATTTACATAAAAATAACCTAGAATCTGTACACGCATTGAAACAGCTTAATTTGTACTAGTATACATGTTGCTCGAATTCGAGCAATTGCAAAGTATTACAGGAGTTATTTTAAAACGAATAACAGTCATACTTACCATTAATTTAAAAGAGTCAACTAAAGATTACCGGTGTGTAGCTCAGACCATTTTTGTCTTCATTATTGATAAACCTAAATCATTCCTGCCGGTTTTCTCCTTCTCAAAATGCCTCGCTGTACAGGCAACACAGGTCATTGATAGAGGGCCAATTGAGAACGAAAAGTCGTTTTGGGGTACTGTTAGGGCGCATTTGTAACTTATAGTTGAGATTGTCCAGGGTCAGGTGCCGACTCTATGTTTCGTTGTCGTCATGTCGGAGCCATTTAAAAGAAAAAAAACAACAATTTTACAAATTATAGCTAAAGAAAACAACGATAAATGCACAAATTTAAGTTACAATAATGCTAACACGATCCGTCATAGCGACACAAAAAAACGATAAATACACAAATTTAAGATACAACCATATATTAACACGATCCGTCTTGGGGGTTATGTTTATACAAACTCAAATAGTAAATAAGCAATGCGTTTCATTGAATTTAAAAATAAATAACAGCAATTAAATTATACAGCTGATCAAAATGTAAACAATTATGTTCTTCATAAGGATAACGTGGGAACTTTCAAAGCCACTGGGGCAGAGCCCAAGGGATTTTTTTCAAAAATGTAAGGCCAGTTTGCAAATCTACGCGACACGCTAAGAGACGTCAATGGATAAAATCGGTTAAGAAATGGCGGAGGAGTTCAACCGACAAAGTTTCATGTAGCGTATTAATTATATAGACTAGTGTACATGTTGCTCGAATTCGAGCAATTAGAATTTGCAAACCAATAACAATCATACTAAGCTGTCCACATTTCAACAAAAACACACCTACCTTCCCTGTAGCAGCAAACCTAGGTACTCATATTAAAATTAACTTATTGTTATTTATGTAGGAAACAATGACCATTTTCAGGGAATATGTTTGTAGAAATTAAGCCAGGTAAATGGAAATATTGGTTTGCTGCGGATGCACAGTTTTAATAACAACAGCAATGATTGTAGAATCTGAATTATTACTTATATCCATGAGTTTATCTAGCAATTATTTCCTGTAAAATATTGTTGTAAATGTAAAATAGCAGCTAAAAAATATTGGACAGACTCGGTCAACAAATGACGTAACTGAAAGAATCCCATACTAATGACATTAACATATAGTTTGACAGTAGTTCCATTTAATCAATGTTAAATGTTTACATTCGGGCGAGTGGCATATTTTATTTATGTTTATGATCCATACAGTTCCTGTTCTAATAATCATGCAGTATTTAATATATTTGGACCAGCTGTGTGGAATTTTGAAATCAAAATTAATTTGACAGTTAGTTCTGATTGTTTACATTTTTAAATTTTGTGGGTTTGTTCTTTGTTACCATGGATACCATAAATAAATATTTCACTTTTAATTTCTGACAACAGCTGGAGTTTCATAACAAATTTTGTTTCCCATGTTAATCTTATGGATAAATAGGAAACTTTAAAGGGCCCCAGGGCCTCACTCTCTAATTATTTACCTAAAAAGAAAGTTTCCTGCACAACTTCACGTTACGCTCTTTACAATGACACCAAAAACATGTCAATCGGTTCAGTAGTTTCGGAGGAGTAATTGTCACAAAAATCCTGCTTGCGTATTAAATAAGTACGAGAGCACGCCCCGTGGTCGAAAAATCGACCAAAAGTATGTATTGTACAAACTTCTCTATTTTCATCCCACACTGTAAATAAAACATGTGATTGGAATGTCTTCCATTTGTTTTGACTTTCTGTTTATATTGTGTTGTTATTTTGTCATCTGCTATGGTGACCCATAAGACCCATGTTAATTTTTTAAAATTTCAAATTCATTTTTTGTGCTTATTTTTGAGCCTATTTTAATTTATAAAGGGATTCTGCACACCTACAGGAAAATAGCTTTCTAACGGTATGCGTAGATTTACCCCACGATGCACACGAGCTGAGAAAAAAGGTTTTAAAGAAACATGCTTGCCTATTACTTATTTACAGGATATTTGTTATAATTAATATAATATCAACAAAGAAAATAATTGTAAAATTAATGACGTAAAAATACTAAAAACATAATGACAAGTAAAATAACTAAGAATTGAACACGCAATAATTTTTTCCTACAGTTACCTAACAATGTACATGTTCTCTCACTGATTTGAGAAATCAAAGTGGCCAATTCGCTCATCAGTGAATTACTTTGTCTCAATCCAGATTTGCAACGTGAAGGCACGAAATAGTGAGCGCGTAACATGCAGACAACGTCGTATGCGCGCGAAATACGTTGGCAGCACTGGCTGTAAATCAGCTGGTCAGCTGTTGTACTGTTGTATTTGTCACTTCACGTTAAATGTTATATTAAAAGTTCACTTCTGTGTAAAAATAGGTTATGTTTCTTCACCAATTTATTTGTTTTATGGTAACTGTAGGAAAAGTATAATGTGCAACTCGAGTTCAAAGTACAATTGCCTCACTCGAGAAACCATTTCTCACTCGCCTACGGCTCGTTTTTCTCTCAGGATTTCTCTCGAGTGAGTCAATTGCTCACTTTTCTCACTGGTTGCACAAATATATTAATAGGCAAGCGTGTTTCTTTAAAACCTTTTTGCTCAGCTCGTGTACATCGCAGGGAAAATCTACGCATACACTTGGAAAGATATTTTCCTGTAGATGTGCAGAATACCTTTATAAATTAAACAAGGCTCAAAAATAAGCACAAAAAATGAGTTTAAAATTTTGAAAAAATTAAATCTGTTGCCATGCTGGTGACGAAATAACAACTAAATATAAACAGAAAATCAAAACAAATGGAAGAAACTCCAATCACATGTTTTATTTACAGTGTGGGGTGAAAATAGAGAGTCTGTACATTACATATTTTTGGTCGAGTTTCGACCACTGGACGACCTCTAGTAACTATTAAACTGCAGTAGGTCTATTTACAAACAACAAAGTAAACAACGTGAAACCTTTAACATATTTAATTCCATTAAAATTTTGTACTTTCATATTATTAACTGAGTTTTTATTTTAAATAATAAAACTCGACATTTTTAAGAGAGAGGTGTTTAGGAAATCTGAAAATTCGTATGTCCTTTTTCTTCTTATACGAATTCTTGCACTTTCTGTTACTACGAACTGTCGTAGTCGTTCTCTCCATGTCGATGTTTCAATTACTAAATGAGAGAACTGAAGAAGAAAGTGTACAGCAGTGCGGTGGTGGTCAAAAATAATAAATTTGATTTTTTTTTACTTTAATTAAAGCTGTATTCTAGCAGTTCTAATTGCATTACCCTGTATGTTTTGGTCTAAAAACTTTTAGTGAAATAATGCCAGCTTTCCTTTGATATATTGATTATTAAGATTCCGATCTTAATAATCCTACTTAAAGCACACTGCTGAATCACGAATCAACAATAATTATAATAGTTTTAGTACTTATCAACCAATGATACGTAAATCAAAATTTATTTAAATTACTTTATATAACTTGGTCTTAAAAATACTTCAATGGCTATCAATTGAGATATTGATAGTTTTAATCAGGGAAGTTAATATACTGTATCTCTCAATCAGAAAACATAAATTTAATTATATCTTGGATATGGAATTTAGTTTTAGATATATTTACTCAATTCTAATAAAGTTATTCTATTTGTTTTCACCTAAGAACCTTCAGTGAAATACCAGCTTCTATTTGAATTATTGATTATTAAGATCGGACGTATCTAAAGCACACTGCTAAATCAAGAACAACCTTTTTTATGGAGTTATTTATCATCGATAGTCAAACGGTCTTGATTGCAGCCTCAACAGCAACTGTCAGACTTAGACGGGGTTCACGTAGTTAATCTAAACGAATTAGGCTTTCCAATGACCTATTGATTAATAAAATCGGTTCAGTAGAACTGTAGATCTAATTGTACAAAGTTTAACAACAAAATCTTTAGTTAAGTATTTTCTCACCATTATAAATTTGGAGGTTGCTTAACGTTTTTGCAAATGACATTGAAATGGTTAGGAAATCCACCATAAGTTGAAGGTGATATTCTGATAGAGAATAGAGATATTCTGATAGTCTTTCCAACGACCCATTAAGTAACAAAATCGGTCCGGTAGAAGTCTAGATTAAGTTGTACAAAGTTCAAAAATATATCTAATTCAGTATTTTCTCACCACCATAAATTAGGATATCACTTAGATTATTGCCAATAACTTTTAAATGAAGGGGAAATCAACCAAAGTGGGTGTGATATACTAAAGAGAATAAACTTTACTACAAATAATTACTATGCATTTCTTGAAAATGCTTAATAAAGGCAGCCAAAAGATTCTGGTTTGGGTGTACATAACACCCATTGGTTATGTAGCTACAAATAGAAACTTGAAAACATAAACTTGAAAAAAGCAGTTTTGAATGTATTTATGCTATTTTTACTTTTTTAACACAAAGATTGAATAAAATCACACTTTCATAATTATTCGCAAATCTACATGAGTTGGGCTTTCCAATGACCCATTAATTAACAAAATTGGTCTAGTAGAAGCCTAGATTTAGTTGTAAAGTTTAACAATAATATCCCTAACTCAGTATTTTCTCATAACTATAAATTCGAAGTTTGCTTATTTTTTTAACCGACTTCCCCACT